TTTTTTTTTTCGCCCCTGCATGCCGCGTCCGGATCCGGCCTCTTTTATGGCTGGGTTCAGGCATACGTAGCATACTATGTGCCTGTCACCCCTGCACCCCGGGCGATGCTAATCTTTTCTGTATCGCTCCAATTTTTACGGATGTCCCGAAGGACRTGGCCGGGGCGATGCCCTGTGGCTTTCTCAGCACAGGGGTCACGGGGTCAGCCTGCCCCGGTCCCGGGCAATTTAGAATGCCTGTTTTTAAAGATCAAGTTTACAGATCAAGTTCCAGCATTTGGGTTCGAACACGGACCTGTATTTCAACAGTTCGCGGGTGTACCCACTGAGCTAGGCCCTTAGGGCCTGCCGCACCCCTACTTTGCCGCGTCCCAAGACAAGACGAGGCGTAACTCTGACGCAGCCACGAAAACAGCTTGTAATTGCACTTYAGGCAACCCCCGCGAATGCAACACACCCCATGTGACTTTATCGCAACCTCGCGTCCCTGAACGGGACGCGATACGACGAGGATCCGAAAAAGAAAGACAATACATAACTAAACATAATAGTGTCGGGGATCAGCGGGGCTGCGTATACCTCACCAGTCCCGCGGGGCAGGCCCGCCGCCACGCTCGCCAGCAAAATCCAAGGGGGATAGCCCTGTCGGGCCCTCAACCTCATCGGCTCCCTCCTCGATGCTCTGCTGCCGCTGCGTCGACGCTCGCCGGCCTCGATCCCCGAACCTTCGTAGTGTCAGTCCAATGTCGTAACCTATAGGGCTAAGCCCAAGCCTGAGACCAAAACACGCAGAGTACTATACAAGACGGTGCGGCGCGGCGCTTTGGGCCAACAAAAACGGGTGCGCGGCTCCCAGTGCCCGCCCTCGGCTTGCTTATACCATGCCATAATCGGCGCGCGCGCCATCCTACTACATCCTTCTCACCGCACGAAAAATCGCGCCGTTATTGTCGATGCCGTCGTCGGGGTCGTTTCTCCGCACGCGCGCTCGACTCGGTCAATATGTACCAATCAAACGAAAATATCCTTACTTCCTGCTTAATCAAAAATAAATAAATAATGATAATATCACCAAGCAAAACAAACGGGGTCTGGGCCGGCTTTGCGATCAACAATAGAAAAGAATCACGCGCGCCTTAAACCTGCGCGCCCACGCACTCGCCATTGTGGTCAACCATCCTGTCAACGTAAATTACAGACGCGGTCACGCCTACCGTGGTATACTTAAATTTTAAGCCAAACAACTTTCTGTTACTCGCAAAAACCAGGGCGGATACCCTTGTAAGGGTATTCGCACCGACAGCGGGGCCTAGACAAATTTATTATTTTTTGAAAACTTTTAAAGAGTTTTGTACTATGTGAAGTACACATTTGTAAATTTTCAGGGCATCTGGATGTTTCCAAAAACAAAAGAAAAATCTCCAAAGATGGTGGTGTCGAAAACTTGCTCGCTGACTCACTAATTCTAATTCTTTTTTCGTTTCTCTTATTTTTATTATTAGTTTTACTTTCTGTGTTTTATATTTATTTCAAATTTTGTAAGTAATTTGGATCTAATGCTCAGGCAAATGTTGTTTATTTTATTTTTCTTCATAACATATCTTTTCTTTAGATTTTTTTGAATTATCTTTGTTTTTTTTTTTCAGTCTCCGTTCGGCCCGAACAGTCGAACGCATCCCCAAGGGGTCCCGTACGTTCGGGCGTTCGGGTGAGGGCGTTCGGCCCGTCCCGAACGCCGGTTACCCTGACCGCAACTAACATTGTAACAGTTCAAATTTTAAAAATTAATACAAACTTACCAAATTTTAACAACGATACACGATACAAATCACTAGCAAACTCTATTACTTATTATTTTTAACTTGTTTCAAATGTTTTAGTTGCTTTCAAAATTTTCTGGAGACATAAAAACACCAAAATACACAATAAAATTATAAAAACTTTAAAAAGGATTTTTCTCTTCATTTTTACACTGCATATCCTATTAGACATTAATAAAAATAAATGCGTAAAACTTTCGTGTTAACGATAAATTAAATAATCCTAAGCATCTTAATATGAGCCTATTTTTGCTACCATATCAAATAACGATCTTTAACATATTCCCCTCGCCTGTAGTGTTCATCAATACCTGATTCACTCATGTATGTGATGATACCCTTTAGTGTTCATCAATACCTGATTCACTCATGTATGTCATGATACCCTTAACCATTTGGATCGCTATCTTTCATTAGTTACTAAGCCTATAGGACCTATATATTGTAACCCACTAAAACCTATACATATTTTGCACCTCATGTTTCTACTTTAACATAGTTCGATGAGATGGCTTGAACGAAAAAAAAGTATCCAACAATAATTCACATTGAAGCTAGGCTACCAGAGTGGCCCGGGGTCACTTGCCCGGCCGGGCCAAATAATATTATAATAATAAAAATAAAATAATTATTTTTTAATTTTATTTTTTATTCTAAGTTTGGTGAAGAATTTCGATGTGACCCTGAGGCAAAAGTTGTTCAGCTTATTTTTCTGCATAACATAGTTGTTTTTGGGATTTTTTTTTTTTTTTTTTTTTTTTTTTTTTGCTGGGGCCTTTCTTGGTCCTTGCATGGGCTGGCCACCGGGGACCCGGGCGGCCCGGCTGGTAGCCTAGCATTGAAGTATTAAATTTTAGTTATAAAGTTTTTTTTGCCATGATTCTTAAATAACTTGAAATAAGTATGACATTATTACAAGACCAAACATTAATAATAATGATTATCCAATAACATGTTTAATCACCTCAAGCTTTTTTTCCATATATTTTAATCAATCTATACTAAAAAATGTTGTGGCATTAAACTATAGTGTTTCTAATACAAGTTGTTTGCTATCATTCGATGTGATTTAGAGAACAATCTGATGCATTGTGAACGCTTCACCTGACATAGTCATGCTAGGAGACAATAAGCCACCAATCATTTTTCGCCAAGTTGGAAACGTGTTTGTCGATATGCTATACAGAGCGTGATGTACCAACATCTGATTGTGCCTAGAAAACATTTCGGCAAGACCGTTGAAGGCTTCTTTCGCTTGGATATTTTCCAGGTAAAATTAGAGGTTGGTGCATCTGCATCCCACCTTACGCGGTGTGTAGACGACCGTATCAAAGAAAAATGGGCAGGAAACATACTGGTGGTTTAACAACACAACCAGAACAACCGATAACAATTGTCTTAGGTGGGTTTATCTGGGTTAGTTAAGAGGTGTCATAGTTTAAACATTGGCTAGTGGGAGGGCATGCGACATTGCATGTGATATCTAGGGTCTACACGACCAAATTTGTACACTGAAAAGCTCGGGTAAGTTTCGGGGGCATTTAGGATTTACCCATGAAGCGTATTTTTTCTACACATACGCCTAGTGCCCAGTGTACTCATATCAGAGGGCTATTTTGAGCAGGTTTGAGTGAGGTTCATGCTCATGCGTAACGCCTGCAACAACCGTCCGGTCGGGCGTCCCCGCCAACATTCTGGAAGTCAGAGGGTACTGAGTGGTAGACACCGAGTTTGAACTGGGGGAGTGGAGGTGCACCAAGGAGAATTAACAAGAGGAAGGGTAGGTTGGGACCTCATAAGGGGTATGACCCTTAAAAGATATTGAAAAAATGGAAAAAGAATTAGGACCTTTAGACCTTGTTCAAATTTCTCAAATCCATTTCTTGGGTTTCCCCCCACCAAAGCTCTGACTGATCCCCTCATAGTTGGGTATGCGAAGAAGTAAATTGGGCATTAGTTGATTTTAAAAACTTATTGTTTGGGGACCTAGACTTCAACATTATTTGGCAATCTCTAAGTTGCTAGATTTAATCCATCATAGTGTTTGACAAAAGTGTTTTTACTCAACCATTTATCCAAAAATTTGTTTTTGTGAAAATTGAGTTTTTTTCCGTTCGCAATTTGTATTGAGTGACCTCAAGAGATCGTTTGGCATGTCCGATAAGGGCCATATTTTGGGATGAGTGGTAATGTCATAGATGATCACTCATCCCAAAAAATGACCCTTACAAGATAGGCATAACAACCTCTTCAAAGTTCAAATCACTTAATTGCAAATTGTGAAATGGAAAAAAAAAAACTTAATTTTAAGTTTGAATGAAAATGCAGTTCCGAGTGCGACACACGTCATATCAATCAAAGATGTATTAGGCTTTACTATCATAGAGAATACAAGTTTTTTTCCTTTTTTCTTTTTTAATATCACAGCCAGAGTTGCCAGGCCGAACGTACAGAGGCCCCTAAGATGACCCCCGAAAGTTCGGGCATTCGGGTCCCCGTACGGGGCCCGAACTCGAAGGGGTTTGGACCCCGCAAAAAAATATTTTGGTACCTAAAAATTATTATTTTTTTCTGATGTTTTTTTTTTTGAGTTCTCTGTTATGTAAGCTACCTGTCTCTCAATTTTGAAGTCATTCTGTGCAGCCAAACAATAATGAAAAATCGGCAAAGATGGTGGTGTCAAAACTTGCTTTCCCACTTACTAATTTGTTTTTTTTCTCTTTTCACTTTTTATTTTCCCTTTATTTCGGGGCCTGAAAAAAATAATTATTTTTTCAAACTTTATTTGTAGGTTCTCTATTATGTAAGATACATATGTATAAAA